GAGTCTGGGGGCTTTTTCTGGGACCTTTTCTACTATTTATATTGCTCCAGGATGACCATCGAATTGCATTTCCAACCGTCGAACTGCTCCTCCATGATTATCGATCATTTTGTCCCAATATTAGCTCCATTACGCCATTACTTGTAGTTAAGCTTCCCTCTTAAATTTGAATCTGAAATGCGAGTAACCGTTGAAGCCACGTCACTTTGTATCTCTTTGTTGATCCGCTGCTACTCAGATCTCTTAATAACCAATACTAACTGCCATGTGTACGATTAGGATCGAGAACTTGAATAGTCTTCCTATATTACCCTTATTTGCCACGCGTCGAATTATAATTAGCTTGTACAAAATATGTAACCAACACTTACAAACAAAAATGATATAATTTTATATTTTTTAAGTCATAATTATGAAAAAAAAGGACGAGTAAGTCATAACCAAAACATCGCATAAGGTGTAACGAAAATCTCATGAGTCCTAACTAAGTAATGTTAGAGACTCCAAATATTTTATCAACATTTCTACCAAATATCTCAAATGAGTGTGAGTAAAATATTTGGGATTCCTAGGATTTTCCTAACTAAAATATTATCATAACGAAAAAAAAAAAAATTTGATTATAACTAAAATAGAAAATAGCATAACTATGGATATATATCATATGGTACATCCTTTTAAGGGGTGTATATAGTAGAATTTTCCCAAAAATGAGATAAACTACGTCTAAAATGAAATGCAAATTCACAGCAAAATAAACAAACAAATAAATAAAATGTGTAAAATATATTACAAATACACTCTATGAGCCCGTTTATTTTCAGAGGTAATTTGGTCCTTAGGGACCATATTTTGTGCCTGCTGAATCACCGCTGGAGGAACAAACACAAGATTTGGTGGACAAACTTGTGCCTGTGGTCCTCTTGGTCCATAAGGTGGCATGTTTGGGACTGGTTGTCCCTGTGGTGCATGTTGCTGTTAGGGATGTAGGTAACCCCTTTGAATTTGTCCTACGAAAGGACCTGCGAAAGATGCTGGAACTGGTGTTGTGTCTCTTCCGTTTGTAGGAAAACTTTTCAACTCCCCGGGTACAAATTCGAATAAGAGATTAGTGAACCCCCTTGTGCTAGGTATGGCTTCGAACATGGGATTTGGAACCATTCTTATGCCATTTTCTTGTACTAGACCAGTTCCACCAAATTGCATGGCTTCACTGTTAAGTACTGAGACATTTTGACCTATTACAGGCCTTGGAACAGGTTCGTACCAAGACTGAGGTGATGGTCTTTCATGGTTCTGATTACTAGTTTGACCATTAGAATGTCCATTAACTTGCGTAGGTTGTTTATCTCTAGCCAATCTTTGTTGAGGGACATTCGAAATCTTCTCTATGTGTCTTACGTTTGTTAGTTGGTGATTATTCATTCGATCCAAAAAGGATGTTGCCCACCTCTCCATTGTGTTCATTAATTGCTGTCCCATTGCATCTATTAAGCCTCCCCATGGATTCATTGGCTGAGTAGATAGGACAGTGGATGGTCCAATTCCTTGGTTTCGTCTAATATTACGAACATGTGGTATTTGTTCTGAAGTACTGGTCTGTTCGACCATAGGTTCTGATAAAATGAGAGTTTCCACAAGATGTGTTATCACATTATCCTCTGGATTAGGTATCTCTACCTCTCCTTACACGCCTTCTTCCAAGCGTTCATTTTCTCATTGTTTTCTATGTCTAGCCATTTTAAATGTTATCCCACTGGGCGTGCCACAAATATATGTTGGCTTTTTGGCTTTCGAAGGTTATTGTTGTAATTGCGAGCGTGCCAACAAGGATCAATTAGTACTTACAGAAAATTAATTGCCAACCAATTATCAGACGATTATGTTTTAATTTTTTCAACCTCAATGAAGAGGACTTTTACTGGTGGCTTGACTTTGGAGAATTAAACAGATAACAATGAATTGAAGAACAGTCGAAGTATTTCATTAAGATGAAAAGACTTACAATGATCCAAACTCAGCCTTGTAGAGGTTTACAGCAACTCTACTTGGAACTACTGCTATGAAACGAAGTGCAGTGCAGGAATTTTAAAGTACAGTAATGTAAAGAACTGTAAATGTAAAAAACTGTAAATGTAAAGCTGGAAAGAAAAATAAGTATAAAGGACTAGTTTTTTAGATCTGAGTCTGGGGGCTTTTTCTGGGACCTTTTCTACTATTTATATTGCTCCAGGATGACCATCGAATTGCATTTCCAACCGTCGAACTGCTCCTCCATGATCATCGATCATTTTGTCCCAATATTAGCTTCATTACGCCATTACTTGTAGTTAAACTTCTCTCTTAAATTTGAATCTGAAATGCGAGTAACCGTAGAAGCCACGTCACTTTGTATCTCTTTGTTGATCTGCTGCTACTCAGATCTCTTAATAACCAATACTAACTGCCACGTGTACGATTAGGATCGAGAACCTGAATAGTCTTCCTATATTACCCTTATTTGCCACGCGTCGAATTGTAATTAGCTTGTACAAAATATGTAGCCAACACTTACAAACAAAAATGATATAATTTTATATTTTTTGAGTCATAATTATGAAAAAAAAGGACGAGTAAGTCATAACCAAAACATCGCATAAGGTGTAACGAAAATCTCATGAGTCCTAACTAAGTAATGTTAGAGACTCCAAATATTTTATCAACATTTCTACCAAATATCTCAAATGAGTGTGAGTAAAATATTTGGGATTCCTAGGATTTTCCTAACTAAAATATTATCATAACGAAAAAAAAAAAAATTTGATTATAACTAAAATAGAAAATAGCATAACTATGGATATATATCATATGGTACATCCTTTTAAGGGGTGTATATAGTAGAATTTTCCCAAAAATGAGATAAACTACGTCTAAAATGAAATGCAAATTCACAGCAAAATAAACAAACAAATAAATAAAATGTGTAAAATATATTACAAATACACTCTATGAGCCCGTTTATTTTCAGAGATAGAATGGAGATGATTGATAGTGAGGAGATTAAGTAAAATTGTATTTGTTTTGATAATAGTTGTTAGTATGTGAATTGTTAAATTATTATCCTATAAAATAAATATAAAATATTAAAATAAATAAAACTATGATTTTTACTCAACAAAAAATACAAAAATATTAAACATTAATGTTAAAAAAAAAAAACTCAACATGTAAAAGTAAAAATAAAAATAAAAAATTGCTATGCTAGAGGACTAACTTCTAATATAGGCTTGGTTTGGAAAGTGAGTTGACTTTTTGACTTTTTTGATTATTTTAGCCTAGGCTAAAAAGCTTGGTTTGTGAAGGGCTTTTTGGCTTTTTTATTTTTTTTTTGTGAGAGAAGAGCGTAATGATTATGGGTTGGATGTGATATTTTGTTTGTTGTGGCTAAAATAACATATTTTGTCTTTTGTGGTTAAAATAGTCAAAAAAGCCTCAAATCTTGCTTCCCAAACGGTGCCATAAACTCTCTATAAGAGTTGCTTAAAATTGTCCATTGTGATTTGAAAAATTAAAAATATCCCCTTATTAAATTTTTTATTTAATAGAATTAATTAAAAAAATAAAATTTTTAATTGCTCTCCTATACAATAATAAAGTTATTTGAATTATTAACTAAAATAAAATTTTGACATCATTAAAAATTATTAATTGACACGATAATTTATTAATAAAAATGGTTATTTGTTATGAAATTATGAATCTTAAGGGGCAAAAATGTAATTTTTAGAACTATATGATTAATCGAGGTGCTTATAAACTGGCCTAGAAATTTGGTCATGAAAAAATATATATGATTACTAAATAAAAGACAATTTTTTAACACACAAAGTATTAAAGCGTAAAATTATTTTTTAGAGGTGTTGATAGATCGAGTTGAATTAGTTGATCTCTCATTTAGGCCTCGTTTGAGAACAGTTTAATTTAGTAATTTTTTAGCTATTTGATTAAAATATGAGCTAAAAAAAATTAGTATGTTTGGAATGACTTTTTGACTTTTTACGAAAAGATGTGTAAAAAGTAGAGAGAAAATAAAATTTTTGACTTTTTAATATGTTGATAATTTTTTTACTTTTTAACTAAAATGGAGGGTTCCCAAAGAACCTTATTATCTGTCCCACTTCAAACAAATTAAAAAAAATATCCACATTCATTCGCTCGAATCAATGAAACTGTATATTATATGATAGATTGACTCAAGCCATTCAATTTTAACTAGTGAAATGGATAAAGGTTTGCCCAACTCTAGTTAACATGTAAGTGTTATTTTAGGTATCATTTATAAGTTAATTTTTTATTTATTTATTAAGACGTATAGAAATATAAAAAAAGGTATAATTTAAATAAATTAATAAATTATTATTATTTTTTTAATATTACTAAAATAGGTCTAAGGTCTGGTTTGGGAATATATTTTTTAATAACCTTTTGATAAAATATGATGTAAAAAAATATATGTTTGGAATGACTTTTTGATTTTTTACAAAAAGATGGATAAAAAGTAAAAAGAAAATGAAAATTTTAAATTTTTAAATTTTTTGTATAAGTTATTGACTTTTTAATTTTTTTAACTTTTAAATTAAAAAATGATATTATCAAACGAGATTAAGGGTTGGTTTGAGATGTTCTAAAAAAGTATTCTTTTTGATTTATTGGCTTATATAGATTGGATTTGAGTTAAGTTTGATGTGATGTATTAGAGAAGTGATATTTTTTAAATAAGATGATGTAATTTAAATAGAATAATAATTTTTTAATTTTTTATATTATTTAGTATACTCCAAATCAAGGACAAAACTATCCTAATTAATTGTGTAGGTGCGACTGACACTAGCGTTTTTTGCCATTTTCCAGTCAAATTTTACAGTCAAAGGTAATCAATGAAACAAAGGCCCAAAAACTAAAAAAAGTAGAATCCAACATAAATCAATTTCTCTGCTTTGTAGAACAGAACTCATAATTAACTTAACTGCCCTAAAAGCGTGGTCCTTTTGCGTTACACATCCCCTTCCTCTAATGACAGAGACACACAATGAATTCCTTCTAAATACCCGCCATTTCAACTGATTCTACCCAAAATCTCTCTCTCTCTCTCTAAGATTGTGATGAGAAGCCGCAGACAACGATGCCGGAGCTACTAAGGTTTGATGACCAGAACCAGCAGAGATCATCCGCATTCAGACCTCGAGACTCCAGCCCCGATTCCGTCATCTTCACCGTCGAATCCAACTTCAGCCTCTTCTCTTCCGCTTCCGGAAGCGTCGATCGTTGCTCCTTCACTTCCGATGTTCACGATCACGACTCTCTCGTCTCACAACTCACTCAGGTCCCTTTTTTTTTTTTTCATTTAAATTTTATCTTCCAAAAAAAAAAAAAAGATTAATAATTTGCGAGATTGATTTTTTTGTTCTTCGAGTTGAATATTGAACTTGAAATCAAGTGATATGAGTAGCGGCTGTTAAACCCACTAAAACCTACCACTACCACTACACACCTCCACTACACCTCACCCACTCCACCTACCATCTCCACTTTACCTACTACCACCACCCACTCTACACCTACTACTCCCAAAACCTCTCTATATATAGGACTTGTAATATACAGATACAAATATCAATATATACAACAATCTTGTAATATATCAATACATAATTCATACTCTCTATTTCTCAATACATCAAATCTTACAGCATGCATGCATTTTTTGGATTGGTATGCACTTTTGCCGACTATGCTGCATGCGAACATCACTATCACTATCACGTATATATATATATATGTATATGTATATGTATATGTACGTGTTTGTACAGATTCAAGTGGAAATAAGGTCGTATCTACAGAGATTGTTGTTATTTCGGAAATGATGGAAAATGATCTATTGTTCAAGGTAATGAATTTGATTTTCAGCCCTATAATTTGAAATTCGTCGATTTCGAAGAGTTACAAATCTTCGATTTGAACCAGCATTTGGCAGGACATGATCTGCGTGAGACTTCGAGTGGTCTAGATTCAGATCCAAACAAGCCCACAGGACACAGGAACAGTCGTCTAATCAGAAAAGTAGGAAAAGAAAAAGGTAATCTACAGCTCACTTTTGAGAGATAAACAAGGAAACGACGACGACTTTGCATAAAATTTTCAAATTTCATCTCACACACATTCAATTCAATCATGCGCAGGTAATAAAGAAGACAATGATTCAGAGATTGGGGACAAAAATGAAACCCTAATTTCAGCGAGGAACTCCTTCTCTCTAGCTGTTAAAGGTACTATACAGGAACAAAAGAGTGTCTTATTTCAAATTGTATCTTTTAACTCTTGCTTTTCAAGACACCCATGTGACTTTTGGTTCTTGAATCAGAATGTCAAGATCGGAGATCCAGATCTGAAGCTTTACTAATAAAGCCAAATAGACGGAGGCCTGCTTCGTTGGATCTGAACAGTCATACAACCAATGCTACAAACTCTTCGCCCCGGTTCGGTGTCATGAAGAAGAGCTCTATTATGTCTCGTCGAACTGGAACTTTTCCGAGCCCTGTATCACCTAATTATCGACATGCGAGTGTTGGGATTCAGAAAGGCTGGAGCTCGGAGCGTGTGCCGTTGCATAACAATGCCAAACAGAGGCATGTGAGTGCTGCTGCACTGTTGCCCTTTAATAATGGCAGGACATTGCCTTCCAAATGGGAAGATGCTGAGAGGTGGATTTGTAGTCCGGTTTCTGGTGACGGTGTTATGAAGGCTTCGTTTCAGCAGCCCCAAAGGCGGCCAAAGTCGAAGAGTGGGCCTCTTGGGCCTCCCGGAATTGCATATTACTCGTATTCACCGGCAGTGCCCATGTTGGAAGGAGGAAATTTTGGGAATTTAATGGCTGGGTCTCCGTTTTCGGCTGGGGTAATGGGGCCAGATGGTTTGTCACTTCGTTCTGGTGGAGGCAATGGTGGAACTGGAATTTTTCCTACTCGCATGGAGCCTTGCATGGCAAGATCAGTTAGCGTACATGGGTGCTCTGAACAACTAAGCCAAGCATCATTGCCTGCCCCCCAAGGTATGGGTTTATTACTTCTTTGAACTCATTGAATTAACTTGATGGAATAACCTGAACTTTACAATTTGGGCTAACTGAATGCAATTCTGGCATGAACCTTTTCAGAAATTGGGCTGGGTAACATTGTAGCTAATTTTAGTCTATGAAAAAAAACGAGAAATCAGTGGATTAATAGTTGATTATAGGTTTCCCATACCTTATAGAGAAATGAAATTATCATTGACTCGCTGATCAAAAAAATTTATCATTGACTAACTAGTTACACAATGCCTAGTATTTATTTTCTTGATAGCATTCACTGGATGCATGATTTGATGAACAATAGAAAATCATGTGATATCAATTACAATTTCTATCTGTAACTGACATAGTCATTGTTGATTTTTTATTGATTTGACTTTTTTGGAAATATGATGCCTCAGCCGCAGACTTTAGAGAAATACCAAATTTATATATTATCATTGATAATTTTGTCCCTTGTCTATTGCATTTTCATGTCTAAGAGGTTGGAATTTAGCTGACTTCATTTATGTGCAGTTGAACATGACTTTAGACACTTTTCCATTGCTGAAACTAACTGAGCTAAAGGACATTGAATTTGTTGATTTTGAAATTGAACAATGAATAGATTGAGTTTCCAAAATGTTTGGGGAATTTTTTCATGTTTAGGTGGTGGATGGGCATGAGGTATAATATAATGCTTTCAAAGCTTGTTCAACATGCTCCTCTTGCCTTGTATGAACTTTGTAATGCGTGACATGCACGAAGCATACCAACCTTAATTTCTTTTCCACTTGTATATATTGTCATTTTGGAGCTGTTTATTTATTTACTTATTTTTTTTGATATGTAAACGCTAAAGCTATTCTTCTTCTTTATTTCTGTTCGTGGCTTGTTTCTATTGGATGAAACATACAGATGAGAAATTTGATAGTGATAAGGATGCGGCCACCAATATTTCTCGGGATGTTTCAAGGAGGGATATGGCAACCCAGATGAGCCCAGAGGGTAGCCCCTACTCATCTCCCAGGAGGCTGTCTTTCTCGCCCTCAACTCCATCTGTCTTTCCCATTGTCGAGTTGGAAAGTCCCAAGACCTCTAAATTAGAAGTCAGAGATGTACAGGTTGATGAACGGGTCACTGTGACTAGGTGGTCCAAGAAACATAGAGCTCGATTTCCTGGGAGAGGCTCAGAAAATGTCGATGACTGGAAGAAGAAAGCTGTCGAGGTTCGATCTTCTGCTTGGGAAGTTTCAGAGGCAGCTAAAAGCATTTCTAAGTATGTATTTTGTTTTCATCCAACTCATGTTTTTCTTGTTTATAGGCCTGTTGATGCGAATAGACTTCAGATTATTTCTTGCAATTATTTAAGAATAGTTTTTTTTTTTGTTGGTGTGTGTGTGTGTTCTAGGTTCGATCTTCTGCTTGGGAAGTTTCAGAGGCAGCTAAAAGCATTTCTAAGTATGTATTTTGTTTTCATCCAACTCATGTTTTTCTTGTTTATAGGCCTGTTGATGCGAATAGACTTCAGATTATTTCTTGCAATTATTTAAGAATAGTTTTTTTTTTTTGGTGTGTGTGTGTGTTCTAATGTCATAAACTTCAATTTCTTGATTATATTACACTACAAGTACTTCAATTCCTCTCTGCTGATTGTTTCTGAAAAATTCCCAGAACCTATGTAAAATCTTCTCCAAAAATGCATGGTTACATAGAAAATGATAAAATATTTATTCATTGATTCAGAATGAAGAGGGAGGAAGCCAAAATCACTGCATGGGAGAACCTTGAGAAGGCAAAAGCTGAGGCAGCAATAAGGAAACTTGAGGTTCTTTGAAATCTTTTCCACATTGCATATTTGAATTTGTCAAGAAGTATTTAGATCATTCATCCATCCTATGTGCGTGAGGTTACCATAAACTTTTAGATATCTTTCAGGCATGAATCAATTATGTAAAGAGCATTTCAATGAAATTCTACCATGTTTTATCTTCATTATATGTCATTGAGGTGCTATGACATTTAACGGTGCTTTCTTAATGCATTTTTAAACCGTAGCACTAGTCTACTACAAAATTTCCATGAGGTTTTGGTAATTGGGATTATTGACTTTAATCATATGGTTCAGATGAAACTTGAAAAGAAGAGATCATCATCCATGGATAAGATTATGAAGAAACTGAGATCAGCTCAAAAGAAGGCCCAAGAAATGAGGAGTTCGGTGTTAACGAATCCATCCCATCAAGTTGTCAAGACATCCAATAAGCTCATATCTTTCCGCCGGACCCGCCAGATTAGTTCGTTGAGTGGCTGCTTCACCTGCCATGCTTTTTAGTGCCTCATCCAGCTGTCTGTTGCTCCATTTGAATTGAACTTAACAAGGTAACTGCTATTCTGGGTGTCAGTTTAAAATCTTAGTTTCCGCTACAGTGTTACCTGCTTGAGCGGTCAATAGGTGACAACAATTTCCATCAACTACTGAGAACATACGACAATTATGCTACAATCAATTGTGAAGGTTACAAATTACACACAAACTGAACTTGTTCTTTTGTTTTAATTTGATTGATGCATTTTGATGTCCCATATATATTGAACAAATCTCTTTTGTTTATTAAATGTTGTCTTACCTAGACATCAAATGCATAAACTTGTGTCAATGGCACCACTATGGTGGTTTTTAAAGTTCTGAGTTATACCATTTCATGGAATTCTGATACAAACAATATATATGCATGTGTAATGTGCTAATTTTAGATTTATGAAAATTGTGATTGCTGTCTTTTGTTTTTGCTAATATGAATTTTATTCTCGTAAAAGGTTCTTTAACTCTTTCCATGGATAGAATGACAACTGAAGAGTGCGAAGATGCATGAATATTGCACAATACAACCCTAGTATGATTTTGACACTTGGAATTGGTGTCGGCCCAGTTTTGTTGCTGCATCAAACACCAGTGTCTCTGCATATGTTGGATGATATGCCAGATCAGCATTCTTGGGGATTCAATTTGTCTGTAATGATGACTAATAACGTCAGTATGCGTGTAAGTATGTAAATCAACCTTTAGTTTTATTGAACCGTTTAAAAAAACCGGATAGCTGTTTTTCTGGTTGGCCCTGTTTTTCCCAGAGCTTTTGAAGCTACACATCTCCGGCATCTTAGTTAAATATTACTACTATTAAATTCCTGCAATTTCTTTGTAACTTCCCTAGTTGTATTTGAATGTTGTTCTTCCAATGTCCAATGACAATTTATGAACACAGTCCGAAGTGGCAGTGATGGGTGGTGAGGGAGTGGCAGTCATCGGCGGTTGCTGCAGGAGAGGGGAAAAGGAGTCGCAGAATTTTGTGAGGTGGCAGAAAGGAGTGATAAAATTTCGGCGGGGTCCAGAATTTTGTGAGGTGGCAGAATTTGATTGGCTGTGGGACAACTGTGTAGAATTTAATCTCTTGTTAGGAACTTTCTCCAGTAAAATAGCACTTATAACTAGACATATTAGCAAAACCGACATGTTATTGATGGAAATTCCTCTATGACATTTACATGCAAGCCAACTCCATATATATATATATATATATGGTCAATAGAAACAAACAGATTTATTTAAATAGAGGAATACAATAATTTGTATATTTATTTAACTTGCTTGACGAGTTATGTTTTGGAGATTAGAAGGCAGCATTCCCAACTGGGTGACATTAACATAATCTTGAGGGGAATGAGCTGATAATCCTGGAAATACCAAACCCAACAGCCTAAGCAATATCAAAAACCAGCCTTCTTTGTATTCTTTGCCCCTTCTATAATGGATGGTGAAACCCCTAATCAGCTCCCAATATGAGTTGAAGAACTTGGGTACTAACCACTTCCACGGGAAGTAGTTTTTGTTTGGTTCCTCCTTTACAATCTGGTTTTTCATCAGGATGCAAAAGTGCAAGACATTAATTAGCCTTACTTGTAGAAAGAGATTGATAAATGAAAAAGCATGATCAATCAAATCTTAATGTTATGTTAGTTGTTACAAAAAAGTTAATGTGTGGCTCAATTTCATTCTAAATGTGACGCAGATCACACTCAAAAGTACATTAATCACTTGAACATAAGAGAGAGAGAGAGAGAGAGAGAGAGAGATTACCCAGCCTCGATGACAACTGTTTAAGTACAGACACCTTCCAAAGTGCCTAGACCTGAAAGTCCGATTATCAAAATGCAACCTGGGCACAATGTCATTACAATACACATACCTCAAATATTTCAGACCATGTTCCTTTATCTTCCTATTCATGGACTCTGTAAATTCCATGTCCCCAACCCCAGGTTGCCCAAAAGTGTACACCCCTTCCAACCTTTTCATCAGCCACGTGTCATCATGGTAGGCCAACAAACCCACAAACAGTATTGCCAGTGCACCACCCAAACTGTGTCCTGTCACAATAAACATAGTTTCTCCTTCAGGGTCTAACAATAATTGATCTCTCAGCCTCTTTGCGATCTCGTAATACGCAGGTTGTTGGGCAAAGTGGTGTGTGTCGGTGACATTATCAGGCTTGGGCCAGTCTGGGCCTTTGAGGCCCAAAGCTTTCATAAAGTCACGGTGTGTGTTACCCGTGCCTTGAAGTGTGTACCATTCGAGGTTGATGTCTGTGATCCACGCGTCGGCATCTAATGGGCTGGTGCCTCTGAATGCCACCACGATCAGGTTCGCTGATTTGTCGTTGAACATGATTGCATGTGTTGTGCGTTGATCCTGGTTATCCTCTACGTATACGTGATTAGACAGACCAAAATATAAAACGTTTGGTAATTATTTCGTTTTTAATTTTTAATTTATATTTATAAAAATTTAAAAAATTGTTATAAAAATTTATTTAATAATTTTTTTGGTTTATAAATAGTTGTTTCAATTTATAAATTTGAAAAAAAAATATAAACTTAAAAAATGAGTTTATGTTGGTTTTTAAATAGAAATTTTGACTAATCATTTTTTTTTCAATTATTTTTTTAATTAATATATATTTTTTCAATTATAATATGTATGATGCCATTGTTATAAATAATAAAAAAATAAATATAAATAATTTAGGCCTGAACAAACATATATTTTTTTTGTTTATGCTTTTAAATTTTTTCAAACATTTTGTTCAAATCAAACGCGTTTGTAGTTTATATTTTTTTAAAAATAAACAAAAATCAGTTTATAATTTTTTTGTAAATATAAACTAAAAAGGTAAACGTTACCAAATGCTATCTAAATAAATAAATAATTATGGGGTGTTTTGAAAAGTTGGTAAAAAGTTAACTTTTTGACTTTTTAAGCTTATTTTGTCTTTTTATGGATAAGTTATGTGAGAGGTGATATGACTCAAAATTAGTAAAAAAATTAAAAATTAACTTTTTACCAACTTTTCAAAAGAGCACTATGTCCACTTGCCATTTCTCACTTTTTTTATATTTAAATTTTTTTTAAACATTTTGTCAATTACCAAACGCATTTGTTGTTTATGTTTTTCAAAAAATAAACAAAAACTAGTTTATAAAATTTTTGTAAATATAAACTGAAAACGTAAACGTTACCAAACACACCCTATCTAAATAAATAAATAATTATGGGGTGTTTTGAAAAGTTGATAAAAAGTTGACTTTTTGACTTTTTAAACTTATCTTGTCTTTTTATAAATAAGTTATGTGAGAGGTAATGTGACTCAAAATTAGTAAAAAAATTAAAAATTAATTTTTTTATCAACTTTCCAAAAGAGCACTATGTTTTATTACGTTGGATAGGTATAAAAAAAAAAGTAACAATCATGATTTTAAGTTTTTTATTTTTTTGTATTTTTGTGTTTTTAGTCAAATCTTTAAATATTTCAATTAATTATTTTTATTTTTAAACACACTTATCCACATACACATAAAAAATAAAATACTTGTGAAGTTTTTTATACTGATATTCCTTAATTCACATAATAGTTAGGGTTCCTTAAATTTTTTTTTCTTCTTCTTTTTTTTTAGGAATAAAAAATTGATATTGTAATTTCTTTTCAACTAAAATATATATCTTTATTTTTTTGAGTATTTACCCATTATCTACATTAATTTCAATTATTTTAATCTTACTAAAATAAAAATAAGTGTAATTATGAAATTTAGATCAAATTATTAAAAAATATAATTTACCCAATATACCGATATATATATATCTTTGCAAATGCACAAATGTTGTGTATAATCGTTCTTACCATTCCATAAGTCGAGAACGCATGGATTTTCCATCTGCCAAAAAAAATAAAAAAATTCATCATTGTGATTGTATTTTCAATGTAGCAATGTATTTTCAATCATAATAATAATGTCACTTTGCTTGGTTTGGATTTTTTAAAAATATTTTTTAGGAAACTTTTCTTTCTTATTTTTTGTATTTTTTTTTGTTTTTATTGAATATTTTTAATATTTTAAGTAATTTTTTTTTAAAATTTTTAGACACGCCTAACATAAATACACCTACCAAATATAATTTTTATGAAAAAAATCTTTAACACATTTACTAAATACCAAATATACAAAAAAGAAACGAAAAGAAAAGAAAATTCGGGATATATATATTTTTATGAAAAAAAAAAAAAACAAAAAAAAAAAAAAAACTAAATTTATAAAAAATAAAAATAAAATACTCATATATATATATATATATATATGAATACTAGCCTATCACTCGTGCTATGCACGAGATAATTATAGATATTTATATTTATTTTAGATTTTTTTTAATATATAAATTATGTTTTTTTAAGATTTTTTATAAAAATAATTTAACAATCTTATCACTAACCATAGTGTATGAGAGAAGTTAAAAAGGGTACTGCAGTAACTATATACAGATTGTATCTATAATTATTTAGGGTTCAGCTTGTCTCAAGTTGAGATCAAGACTAGACCCGTCCAGTTCGGCCCATGGGGTCCATTTTTTGGGCCCGTTTGATAATCCGAACCATTGAATGTGTAGAAATCGTCGAGTACTACATGCTTGTAAAAAATCACGTTGATCGGATATCAATAACTATCTGATCAAATCAGTTTTGTATAAAAAAATGGATGGTAAAACAATTAACGGTTGATAAAAAACTGTTTTGTTCACATAGTTATCGATATCTGATCAACGTGATTTTTACAGGCATATAGTACTCGACGAGTTTTACATATTGAACAGTTCGGATTATCAAAATGGGACCCGTGGTGGGCTCCCACGAACCCAATAGGACGGTCCAGTCCGATCTTGGACTGGACCAAAGCCACTGCCAATTATTTATATGAGGGGATTTTAAATACTGATCAGAAAATTTTAATCAAATCAATAAATATAGGCATGTGGACTGAAAAAAGTTAATAAATGCTAATCAGAAAATTTTGACCAAATCAATAAATGCTGAGTTTTTTTTTTTTAATAAAAAATATAGAAAATTCAAATTGAGATATTGAAACTCCGATAGGCCTTGGGGGTTAAAAACCTCACTCTCCTTAATATATAGTGTAGATGTATGGTTGAACAGGTAGTTGATGATATATATATGAATATAAATGCGCCTTCCAGTGATGGGTAATAACGTATCGGACGAGATCTCCATGCTCGTAGGAGAGTTCAGAAGCCATCATAGAGAGAGAAGCAGTATATTTGGGGTTACTAGGAGTGATGTCTTGGTCTAACCTCAGCCTCATGTCAAGATGTCCCAGCATCGTCATTTCCTCAGCTAGATGTCTCGGCAACTCTGTTGCACCTACCATACAACCCACAACAAACAAAACTAAAAACTCATATGTATTTTTATTTATTTATATTAATTCATAAAAAGTAAATTTTATATGTATTTAAGTACCAAAACCACCGTTGTTTCTACAATTTGTTGGCATTCCATACTGGTTATGAAAGACGTCTAAGATAGATTTGTGGAGGTCTCTTTTGGATATTGGAGCCTAAAAAAAATAAACCTGTGAAAGTGACTGTTGGACTAGGTCATAATTAGGAGTGTAAAAATGACTCGCGATTTGTGAGCGGTCCAAAACTCTCTTGCGGCTTGGGGTGGGCCCAGGCCCTAGCTCAATCCGAGCCTCTGGGCCATCATTTTGAAGTCCGGCCCGGTCCGTGGGCCTAGGGCTGTTCAAAAATCCGTTCAAACCGGTAATCCGGACCGAACCAGACCGAATCGTACGGTTTGGTTCGGTTCTATTAAGAATTGGTTCGGTTTCGGATTAAGAAATATGATAACCGTAAAAACGGTTCGGTTAATGGATTTTATGAAAAAACCGCGGTTCAAACCGAACCGAACCGAATTTTAAAAGATATATATATATATATATAATATCAAGTTTTATTTTTATTAATTGATTTTTTATAATTTTAATGATATTAGGATGATATAGATATGTAATATTAAGTAATGCCTTAATATTATTAGTTTTTATCATGAGTTAAATGTAATTAGTTTGAGTAATTATTTTGCTAATATTAACAATTTGTTTTTGTAAATAGAAATTTTTGGAACCGTAAACCAAACCGAAACCGAACCGTTTTTTCGGTTTGGTTCTGGTCCGGTTTTACAAGTGTAACGGTCTAGTCTGGTTCTCAAAATCACAGAACCGTTAGGATTGGTTCGGTTCTTGGATTTTCTCAGAACCGAACCAATCCGGACCGTGTACACCCCTACGTGGGCCAGCTCATCGGCCTGTGGCCCGGCCCACTCAAGGCCCGACCCGAGGCCTAATGTCTTTTTTAGTGGAAAATAATAAAATTTTGATAGAAAAAAAAAACAAAAAAAAAAAAGTCAGGCCCATTCAAGCCCAACCCAAGCCCGAGGCCAGGCCCAAGTCCACCGAGCCGACTCGAGGCCCGAATACCCCTAGGCTTGGCCCTATTTTTTTGCCCGTGACCCAGCCCGAATTTTAACAGGAACTCGCAAGATTCAACATGGGCTGAGTCCGAATGGGCCGGGCCGGGTCAAATTTATACACCTGTCATAACAGACTAGGCTCACGTCTAATATTGCAGTAACAGAGCTAGGGTCATGCTTGCTCCGAGATGGAATATTGGTATCTCATGAGATGGGAGATTATTGGGTTATGCACCTTTTGAGTTGGAGTTTAAATGGACAAACTCATGAATTCGTGATGTTAGCTATTGGATTGAGTGATAATAGACTAGACAAACCTGTGAAGCCGCCTGTTAAATTGGGTCAAAGTAGACTAGTTGGGGGCTAAGTCATGTGTCCAAAATTAATTTTTAGCTACATTTTACAATCTCAATAAATGAACTATTGTGTAATTAAGAATCATTTTGGAGTTTTAATGGATATTCCAATATAAAAATTAAATAGACATATAATGAGAGAGAACAAAATAAAAAATAAAATAAAATAAAACATAGCAAGAGAGTAGGGAAATATATGATAGTAGAGAATTTTAGCTACACTTTAGGGCATGGTTTTGATGTTGTAGGGTTGATCAGGTACCATGACAATTTGTTACCATCATAAAGTTGCAATGTAGTAAATTATATTATAACACCCCAAATTTAAAAAATTACCACTTATGGCCCAAATATGTTTTGACCCCACCCTCATATGCTAGTATTGAATTGTTAGTCACCAAATCATTTAAAAGTTTAAACGGCTAGAGAGATAACATACATTTTTAATTATTAAGTAGGACATGAGATTCAAATACATAATTTATTGTTGGCTTTGATACCCAAAAACCTAAATTA